CATTCTCAAGATCGATGCGACCATCAGGGGCGGCAATACCGGCAGCTGTTTTCTCGTTGCCGTTTTCACGACGTATCATAGCTTGCGTCGCGTCCCATAGCTTCGCCCATGCTTCCTTTACGGCTGCGGCCGAGTTGACCCAGGGGTGGGTGTAGATACGCTTGTCAGTAATCTTCATCTGCGGGACCGCCCAATGAAAGATATTCTCAACAGCTTTCCGTGAGTTTCTGTGATTCGTGGTATATCCTTTTACCGGGGGGAGTTTTCCAAATAAGTTCAGGGGCCATTCGTACTTGACATTGGGCCACTTTTCGTTGCCATCATTCCAACCGTTCTCCACCACCTTTATCTCATCGTTTACGAACCAGGTCCATCGAGTACAGGTCCAGTAGTGTCTTACGCACGAGACGTGGGACCGTACTGGGAGTTCCAACTCCCTCGCCACCATGGAACCGAATGGCTTGTAAGGACACGCAGGCTGCTGTTGGAAACAGTGACATTCTGGCTCCTGGCTCGATAATTCATGACGTAGGCACCACACGTCTTCACGAGTAATCGTACCGTCTTCTCGGAGGTAGGGACCCGATCGGTGGAGATCAAGAAAGGATTGCGGTGATCCCAACCACGCAGCGACTTCTGGCATCGGTCCGGGATACAACGAGTCCCAATTCTCATAGGAAAACAAATCCTCAATTTGCTTAGTCGCTCCACAAGCCGCTAGTCCATACCACAAAGGCGCGATATCGGGTCGACGGAATGCCATAACACGTCCCAACACCTCCATATTGCCGTAAACGAGGGGTCTGATCACCCTAATCATTGATTCAAGCCACGGGCTGACCAAGTTGCAGTCCACATCTGGCTCCCAGAAGGCAGAGTATAGCGCAGACCATACGAAGTCAGTGTTTAGACTAATTGCCATGTAGTGAGGCAACTTGTAGTACGTTCTCATGATAGTCGAGGAAATAGCTGACTGTGCGGTCATTTTCTGGAACGACGGCTTTGGAAGGTCTAGCGTTGACTCTAACGTTGTGCGTTCCAGGGCCGGGGCCACGAGAGCCATTGCCAGCGCCAGTGAAGATTGACTCTCAAGGTTGTATAATGAAGTGAACCTGGCGAGGAAAATCGCTGCCTGTGCACTCGATGGTGCCTGAAAGGCGTCGAGGTTTGATTGCATGATCGTCGGCTGGATTACGAATTCCGTCTTGGTCAAGAGTCCGGCCGTCCACGGAGGCCGAGAGTTCTCTCTCGGGAGCACCCGCACTCCCACCGTTAGGAGCATATACCACCAGCTAGCTTCATCTTCCCAACAGTCGCCAAGGTCCACAACGATTTGCTCCCTGAACGATGAGGGGGGTTCAATCCGCGGCAGCCTGAGAAAGTCCAACGGCAGGCGCTGCTTCTCGAGAAGAGACGCGCAGAGAATGTATGACCATCCAAGGAATAGCAGGGTGATGCCATTGTTCTCACTGTCGATATAATTGAAACAGGTGTGATCTTGTAGGGTGCAGATCGTTTGGTTAGGCACAGTGAGTTTGAATGTTCTCTTAGCCCCATCTCTCGCTTTGGGAGGACTCAGACATCCGCGGGAGATCAATTCCCAAGTTGCCTGTCCGGCTATGGACGTCACGCCCTCCAAGTTTTCGGGAATTGGTGGTAGTTTTGCCAGTCTGGAGAGGTCGATAGAATCCGGTCCCATCCGCATGTATCTGGCATGGTTTGCTAGGTTTTGCCATAGTTGGGTGCTGGCGGAAACAACTTGATGAACCCGATAATCAGGGGGGACGATGGGATCATCCGCCGACTCTTTATGGCCTGGAGGCATCTTGCGAGTGTGTTGAGATGTGTCCTGGATTCGAAGACGACGCAATTGGCATCAAAGTTGTCAAGCCTAATTCATGTCAATATAGATGAGCTGTTAACAAACAAGAAAAAAGAGAAAGAAAAAGAAAGGAACATTGCGACTGATGATTGCGCCTCTCTCGCGCATCGGCTGGTGCCTACGAGTAAATATTGATTTACGAGCCAGGCATCCCCAGGATACGCATGCCAAATGGTGGATCTGGTCTTACGATTCTCGGTCTCTTCGGATCAAATAGCACCAACTTACGATGGTTGAAGTTACGGCGCGACAGGTTGACTTGGTGAGGCGAGCCGACAACGCAGTTCGAATTGGCGTTGTAGTTAAGAAGGAGAATGGACCGGTGCCCGAGGTCGGAGGTGTTGAGCTCATGGGTGAAGATAGGTAGGTGGGTATCTGGTGTACCTATGTATCGGTATCCACCCAAACGTGTAGGTGGGCGCTCGGATCTCATCTGAGCCCGAGCACCTAGGTACCTACTGGACCTCTGACGTTCACTCCCGGTAGGTACATATCACATTGACGTGCCCTTCCATTCAACCAGCGACGGGAGGAGATTGAATGTCCCCGTATCCATATACCTACATATAGAGGTGTTACAGATAGTGAGGTGGTATTCCTTTTACCGGGTCGGTACGTACATTTTACTGTACATAACCGCGAGCATTTATGGGCATTGTAATTCGTCATGATTATTATAAACGAAATGGAAGTAATGAACCGCAACACGCGACGCGACCGGTATGGTCATCATCGTGAACTGAGCCGAGGGTAAGTGCAAGTACAAGTGCAAACCTACCTAGCCTGGAGGTTTTTATTGTCTGCGTGCACCACAGTTCCGGTACCCCAGCCGAGACCGTCGCGCTGTCACATATAACCGCCCGCTGCCCACTTTCTGCACGCCATTTTTTCCCTCCCCTTCCTCGCTCTCAACTCTTATCCATGCGTAAAGGGTAAATTGAACTGCCCCACGTATCGCTTCCATTGCGCAAGAACATACTTTCTAACACGAGCCGGCACGCGATGGAGACCAGCGAATTCACTGACATCGACAACGCTGACCCCGAGGATTTCTTTACGGGCTTACCCGACTCTCACGAAGGTGCTAGCCCAGCAGGTAGGTCCCACCGCGTCCGCTTCGAATTGGAACCGGAACTGGAACTGGAACGGGACTATTGCGTTTAGCTAACGTCAATTGACATTGCGCCAGGATCATCCGAAGCTTCTGAACCCTCCGATGCGCCCCCACCGCGCGCCGACCTATTCTCCATCCCCGAAAACATCCGAGCGATTCGTCAGCAGATATTCGAGGCTAAGGGGGAGACACATTATTCACATAGTACGTTCGAGGAGTACTGGCGGTACTGCGATAACATATGGACTCCCTCGGGCAAACAATACACAAGGAAAGACGGCTGTGTCACGCGCCACTATCGCTGCATTCTTCATGCCAAACACCCTCGCGTTCGGGACGAGACGAAAGGCGAGCGGAATAAGAAGTCCAGGGTTCCCGTCGGCTGTCCCGCCGCCGCCAAGAAGACAGTGCTGTCTAATGGATCTATCATCTGGGGTCCCGCCGGCCGGTCATCCCACAATCACGACCTGAACAAGATCGACGGGACCAGACGGTCTAGCTTTCTGAGGACGGCGGTGAGGCAGGAAGCCATGCGCGGATTACCCCCTTCCGTCACGCTGAGGACGATGCTGGGCGATAATGGGAAAGACTTGGCCGTACAGAACGCCATGGAGTCCATCGGCGGCCAGTTCTTGACTCGGCAGGACGTTATCAATGCCCAGACCGCATATCGCAGAGCTCATCCCGACATGCGTCTCATACCTCAGGACCCCTCTATTCGGCCCGCCCCAGAGCCGCCGCGAGCCGCTGCCCAGGTCGGAGGACTGCTCGCGACCGCGACCGCGACCGCGACCGCGCCCGCGCCGCGGCGTTTCCCGCTCAACTGGAACCTGGAAGAGGCGGCGTTGGCAGCTGGGCTCATCCAACAACGCGGCGAGCGGCGAGACGAGTTCACGCGCATCTACCGGGAGGCGGAGAACAACGAGGACGTGACGATCGCGCGTGTGCTGTTCTGGAACAAGGACGTCACGATGGACGGCATCCCGCCCTACGAGTACCGCAATATATTCACGCTGGCCACGCAAGCGCGCCGCGGCAATATCATCCCGAACATCCTCAACACGCCGCAGAAGGTCTATAACTTACTCCGGTTCTGCGGGACCGTGGATGCGGCGCTGGACCGGGTGGAAACGCTGGTCGCGGAGAGCGAGCGTAGGAGGCTCAATATGGGGTGATCACCGATTTCCTGAATCCTGAATCCTGAATCCTGAATCCAGAAGGAAAAAAAAGCAAAAAAAGGAAAAAGTGAAGAACAAAGGAAAAAACTCCAATTACGGCGACCCGTCTTTCGGAGATGTCTGAGAACGGAATTACTAATTAATGATAATTATAATTGTATAATGATGATGACCATGAGCACTTTTCCTCACCTAGGTTAAGTTTAGTTAGTCCGCAGGAGAAGAAGATTCACACGGGATCGCGGTTCTTGAACAATTTCGGGAGGGATTGGGGCTCACTATAACTAACTGTAGCTTAATTAATTAATCAATCGATCAGAAAAAAAATAAAAATAACAATAAAAATAAAATAAAAAAGACGTACATAACGAATAGTTATCGGTCAATAACTAATTAACTACAGATTGGCTTTGCCGGTTGGAACAACCCCCCCCCTCCCCCTTTAACAACCTAGCTAGTTTCCCGGTCCCTATCTGAAGAAATCGATTTTTTTTCTTTTTGTCTCTCTTGTTGAGCTTGGGACGCACGCAGCTAAGTAGAAAGAAAACACGGACGGGGGGTGAAGAGAACCACGACCAACGGGAAAATAGTAGGTAAGGTAGTAAGTAAAGTACTACTTAAAAAGATCCCCTGGTGTAATTCTACCTCATAATTATGAACCCGACAAACAAAAAGATTAAAAAAAAAAGAACAGACAGACCAACCACAATAACAATAGGCAATAGCAATAATAACGAAAGAAAAACCAACCAACCAAGTCCGCGAGAGAAAAGAGAAAGAAAAAAAAAAAGAAAAAAAGAAGAAAAAAGTTCAAACGGACAAAGTGGGGCCTCTCCGGGATTCGAACCCGGGACCTCTCGCAATTGTGAATTCGTGCCCTTTTCTGCCGGATTTGTTATTTTTCCCAACAAATCCGGTGTGGAGGGGGGCCTTAAACCCAAAGCGAGAATCATACCTCTAGACCAAGAGGCCGACCTTTTTTTCTTCTTTTTGTTTTTTTCTGTTCAAATGTGATACTATAACGAATCTTTCTTTTTTTTCCTTTTTCTTTTTTCTTTTTTTTTTTGGGTCGGGGTATATTTTCGGAATTGATGATTCACATCTTTCTTTTGGATTAGGTTTATACCATACCATACCTAGCTATTAACTATTAGTTATCCCCCCCCCCCCAAAAACCCCCCTTTCACGGAATATTAAAACAATTAAACATACCTACTCAGTTGACGCTCGGGGTTTCATTACATTTATCACCAGCGCAGGAATCGAGGTCCATCAAAACGATAGAATACCCCGATCCCGTAGCGTGAGTTGTATCTAGTGTAGACACGGCAATTCATTCAGCCCCACGTGTCTCAAGTCGTGGATCATGTCCTGGCCATGGATTCATTCCCAAACTCCCTCCTCTCTATGTCATAAAAAAAAAACCTTAAATCAATCTACTCTTTCTAGCTTTAGATCTATCTACAGTCTGTATAACTTACAGTTTTAAATACCCCTCCCCCCAAGTTCATCAACTTCATAATCTAATAAAATAAACGTGCTTTGAAAAAGAAAAGAAAAAAGAAAAGAAAGAAAGAAAAAAAACAAAAGTCTTTATTTCGTCCCGTTCACACCGTTTCCCCGTGCTTGCCGATGACCGAGCTTCTCAACGCACTCCTGAACATCACGGATCATTCCGGCCTCGAACACCGTGCGTATCGCCAGCGACTTGGCCTGTGTGAGCGGAATCTCGGCAAGCCCCGGTCTCTCGCGCCGGCTCTCCGGGAGTTCCGCTAAGCTCGCGTTCGGATCTTGTCCCGTCTTGTCCGCGAACTCGTATGAGCGGTATTCCGTGTTTTCCCAAGCAGTTCCTTGTGAGATCGCCCGTTAGTCGTCGTTGAATAAACGGAGGAAAATGAAAAAAATGAAAAAAAAACAATGCGAGTCTCTCGCCTCGTAGGGGAGGGGAGGGAAAGCGCATAACTCACCTCGGCCAGGGGCGAGCCCAGACCAGTCCTCCGTGATATAGTGCAAGATGCCACCATGAGTGACCAAGACCACCTGGGCATCCTCGCCAGCCTCCTTGACAAGGTCCCGGAGCCATAGTCTCACGTCACGAGCTCGGGCCTCCAGTTTGGCAGGCTCGGGATAGTATTTAGACTCAGGCGTCTTCTGATTCCAGTCGTCCCCGACGAGCCGGAAGTCGACAAGATCGCCAAACTCCTCCTTAAGCAGCTCCAAATCAGAGCCGATATCGCAGGGATAGAGGGAAAGCTCCTGGGCGTCCGGGAGCGCAACGATCTTCTTTCCGGCGTTCACCACCGGTGCAAAGGAAAGCCGGCAGGTGAAGACGGTGCGACGGATCGGCGAGGCGACGAGGTGAGTAATTTTGTCGTGGGATGGAAAACTTCGGCAGAGCAGTTCGCATTGGATCTTGCCGACGTCGGTCAAGTCCGGATCCCGTATCCATTGGTTCTCAACGCTGAGGTTGTGGTAGCCTTGGGCGTGACGGACGAGGTGGATGACTGGTGCCATTATCGGTACTGTCGTCTTGGATAGAAGGGTTTCTCAACTTGTTCGGGGGGCACTTTAGATGATCGAGAGTTGAGTTGCTGGACCGCACTCTCCAAAGACCGGGAATGAAGGGACGCTGCTAAACTGCTCCGAGAGATTATAGAAAGACAGAGAGAGAGAGAGGAGAATGGTCTGAGGTGCTGTCAAGTAAGATCATATATATAGCACGTGCGAGTACCGATTCCTTTCAACACATCTCGGAGGATCATGAGTCAGCTACGACAACAGGTTTGGCTTATCCTTTTACGCTATGAAACCCAAATGTGGAGACACGCTGCGATGCGGGAAGCTAGGTGTTGAACCTGGACCATCGTGTCCCGCAAATCTCACCGTCGCAACAAATCACAATCGTGGATTACCACACACGCGGCCGTCGTTGGGTCGGAGAGCACCTGGAACGTAGCTTCGTTCGAAGTGGTGGCTCACCGATTTCTGTATTTATGTTGGGGGCGCGCGTCGAACAATCGTAACAATACTACAAGGACTTGTCAGTCTGCCCTTTTACGAGGACTTCTTCATTGCGTCTTGTCCGGACTCAATGGCTATCGTGTCCGGGGACCAGGGCCGTCCGCCGTCGATGCGACTCAGAGAGGAAGCTGGTTCAGCTTCGAGCCCCATGACACGAGTGATAGTCTTCGATTCGTCAATATCAAATAACTGGGGTGCAATAAGCAATTTCTGCACCGGTAAGAAACAACCATCGGCGGGGCACAGCAGCAAACGGCCATGCGTCCGATTTGGTCAATCGTGGGACGTTCTTGACGGCCGGCTCCAGATTTCCAGATCAAACTCCGAGAGGAAGGTTACAGCAGCCTTCAGCTCAGACATGATTCGGGTTGCATGGCCTCAATGAGACCGGTTGCAACAAATAGGACAAAGAGGAAAGGAGATCGCTTTCCATCGGACTCTTGCCCAACATATATATATATATCTCCCAGTTGCGCACGCATCATTGCTGGATGGCTGCGTGCTAGCACCACTTTTGACGTGTTTGGACGGCGGGTTCAAACCAACATTGACCATCGAAGCTACAGTCTAGACCTACATGTAGCCAGAGAAAGAAGAAGCCCTTCGATGTCGGTAGCAACATGCCGTGCGTCCACATTGGCTAACCAATAACAAACCCTCGGCTTCGCGGGCTTCATCTGTAATTTAGTAATTATCTGTAGTGTAGGCAGGCAGAGCATACCTGACATACCTGGCATACCATGAATACCTAGGTTAGGTAGGTAGTCCGTAGCGTACGTATACAAGGAGGTTCTGATAATTATGAATGTGTAATTAATTACTTTTCGTACTTTGTGCTTGGTACGATGCCAGGTGTTCGCAAATGACGAGTCACTCCCTGGGGATATGTCCTTGGCAAAAACGATAAAAGGGTGATTTGGAGATGGAACTTGTACAGTCCGTATGTAGTTATAGGTATAGGCAAGGCACCGCACCGCAGCTATGCGGTATCGTCGCAGACAGTGGACATAAGTATGATTATCAACCTATGGTAATCTGTACAGTAAACACATGATGTGTGCACTGAAATAATTACCGGTACGGACTATACTAGATATGTACGTCTGTATCTGTACGGTGCTGATTCGACAGGAATCTACCGTAATATCACGGTGAGCCTTGCTCTTCTCCAACGAGTTCCAGGGCTTGAAAGAGGGAACTTAGCCGGCGTCATCCCCAAATGAGGGGATCTCCTTTGGTAAGAGGTACTTCGTATGACTTGTACTCCGTACTCCGTTAGGTAAACGGTAGCGTAAAACTGTAGAGTAACCTGCAGTGTAGGTACAGTCTATATCTAGGTAGACAGGCAGGTATTCCCGTATCCAAGACCGATAATTACGGAATGGATAGTATGACGGATCTCCCGAGTTTTTTGATTTTTTAATCTTAATTCCTGCCCAGCAAGGGGGGCTCGAGCGCCATGCATGGTACCGTCGGCGGGCACTAAACAATGGCAGATATTAGCCAGGGCAGATAGTTAGTCCGTCGGTACAGATTAGGTATGTAGATAGATAGATATTAAGCAGCCAGGGACCCAAGGACCCAGGGACCCAGGGACCCAGGGCAGAACCAGGGACCCAGGGTTAGTTGGCTGGTAGGTATCGCTTCTCCTGCCGCTAGCGCGTTGTCATCGCGTATCCACCACTCTTGGTTCTTGGTAATTAATACCTTTTTTCTCCAAATCCCACACCTTTACTTTACTCCTATCTCACTCTCCAAGCTTCTTTGCCATCCCTCAAGTTCAACTGCCTCGCCCGAGACAACGACACCTTTCACCTCTCCATTCACTCTTTGTTTCCTTCGAAGACTCGATATCACACTCGATATCCGATACCAACAAACTTCTTTCGTCAAGTCCTCAAACAGGAATCGACAACCGACAACCGACAAAATGGGTGGTATTCGTAAATATCCCCTTTCCTATATTCCTATTTTCCTTCGGCGTCCTGTTTGTTCTGTGGTGATGATGTCGATCGGTGATCGTGCAGTCGTACCAGTCGCTGTTGCTCGCCAATGCAATTGAAGACATCTATCACCTGCCCGTCGTTCGCATCGTTCGCGTCCCGTGGCCACAGAGTCCGGGCCGGCGAGTTCTTCTCTCCCTGTCCCGCCTAACAACAAGTGCCACGAATGCCCACTGACATCTGTGTTCCGTACAGCCTTCGGTGCTTTGACCAACCTTAAGCAGAAGCTCAAGGCCGTCTTCCGCAAGAAGGACAAGAAGCCCAAGGACGGCGAGGCCGCCGGTGAAGGTGCCGATGCAAGCAAGGGCGAGACTGACGGTAAGTGTGATCAACGTAGACCAACCACATGACCCCAAGTGCACGTCGTGATGCACCGCTGAGGTCAACAACGCAATACGCATCATGCTGACTCGCGCATTAGCCGCGACCGCGACCACCCCCGCCGGCGAAAACCCTGCCGCTGAGGCTCCTAAGGTAGACGACCACGCCGACGACGGTCTCTCCGGTAAGTTTCCCTACCCCGCAATTCATTCCCCCCACGAGCGTCGCACTGCACGACGTCGAAGGGCTTCATTTGCGGCATGGTCGTCCAGCTCAGAGCTGCAAGCATTTGCTAACCCAATATTATATTAGCACACCAAGTCATGGAGCCAGAGCCGGTCACCGTCGCCCCGCTCGACATCAAACCCGCCACAAACGCTTAAGAAGGAGGAGGAGGGACGAATAAGCCTACCATGATGGATTTCCGTACTCGAGGTCGGCTTGTCAAGAGATAGCTGGGATTTTATCCAGGCTATCGTTAGTTCTTTTCTTCCCTTCATCATTGCCATCCGATGATGGAAATGCGTCGGGGCAATAGACAGTTTGATGGTTTGGGGGGTCGTTCGTTGCGATGATGGATTTTTTTCCGCAGCAGAAGCAAAGGGTTGTTTAATGGAGTTTGAAAAG